GCACAGGGCGGGGCCAAAGCTTAGGCGCGGGGCGGGGCAACAGCTAGGGCGCGGGGCGGGGCCACAGCTAAAGCACAGGGCGGGCCCACAGCTAGGGCGCGGGGCGGGGCCACAGCTAGGGCGCGGGGCGGGGCCACAGCTAAGGCACAGGGCGGGGCCAAAGCTAGGGCGCGGGGCGGGGCCACAGCTAGGGCGCAGGGCGGGGCCACAGCTAGGGCGCAGGGCGGGGCGTGGTTGGCGGGGGAGAAGGCGGGACTTTGTCGGCTTTGTTGCTAAAGACTACCAGGACCTTTGCTCCTCCCACGCCACGCCGCCACGGGTGATCACAGCCAGTCAACTAAGCCTGGTCGCCATCCAGCCTGGAGCCAAGCACTCCGAGGATCCAACGGCGAGCTAGAACAGTAAGTCTCCAAATTAGAATCATCAGGGGCAGCTTTTGCAAATTCCCATGTCCAAGCTGTCCCCCATGTCAATGAAATCAAGACACTCTGGAAGTGGGGCCAAGCCTTAATATATTTAAAACACCCCAGATAATTCCAGAAAGCAGCCAGGTTTGTGAGCTAAAGACCTGTCTTCGGGGAGTGTACAGCCTCTGTAAGGGCAAATGCAAATTTACAATAAGAAAACGTTTAATTCTCCCTGTTGACAGAAGGGGAAAGCATCTCAGAGCGGGTGTGGCACCTCCACAGTCAGGAAACATCCAGGTTCCTTTCATTTTTTGGCCCCACTGTTCGAAGCATCAATGGATTCTGGCCTTCAGGTTGCCAGTGGTGCAGGCGACCCTGCGGTTCCTTCCTCGGGTGTTTGTACCGGGCAGCAGAAAAGAGGAAGAGGCCAGGGTAACAAGCTCACTTACCAGCTGAGCCGGGACCTTTAAAGCGTTTTCCTGGAAGCCACACCCGTTGGCTTCTATCTGCTTTTCACCGGTCACTCACATCTACAAAAGAGACTGAAAAAGTCATTTAAAAAAATTAATTTGGACAGTTAACGGCATCCTCAACAATATAGGGGTTCCGTTTGTAAGGGGAAATGAGAGTAGATTCGGGGTAGGAAATAGCAGCCTTGGCCATTTCTACTTATTACTTTTTTTTTAATGCTCACCCAAGTATATTTTTTTCCATTGATTTCTAGAGAGTGAAAGGGAAGGGGGGGGAGAGAGAGAAGCATTGATTTGAGAGAGACACATCAATTGGTTGCTTCCTGCATGCACTCCTGTTGAACCTGCAACCCAGGTACATGCTCTTGATAGGGAATCGCACCCGTGACCCTGCAGTGCTCCGGCTGGTGCTCTAACCATTGGATCACGGACCAAGGCTCTACTTTCTATTTTTTAAAAATCTTTTGTTCTAAAAATCAAACTGTAGAAAGAGTATAATGAACCGTCCATGCCTAACCCATCACCCGGTTTCAGCGATTTAATTATTGCAAATCTTGCTTCATCTATACTTTCTTTTCTCCCATTCCTTGCCTACTGGAATATTTTGAAGCAAATCTCAAGCACTGTATCTTTTTATCCAAAAATGTTTCCATAATTATCTCCTAAAATAGACACTTTAAAATTACCATATTAGTATTTTTACAGGTAAATATTTTAGCAGTTATTCCTGAATAACAAATATCCAGTCAATGTCCAATTTCCCATGATTGTATTAAAAGTGTTTCTTTTTAAAACTGTTGGGTTTTTTGAATTAGAATCCAAACAAGATTTAAACTTTGTTATTTGGTTGATACATTTTTTAAATCTCTTACTCTCCTCACACGTACTTATTTAAAACTAAATTCCTTTCACAGGAACAAAGCCTTTTATTGTAGGACTTAATATAAAGGCTTAACATGTCAATATTCTAGGAAAAATAATATAGTAATAGAAATTCACTGTGTGGTATCAAGGACCAACACTATAAGATTATTTCCCATAAGAAAATAAACAGGAAGAAGAAAGTATCAAGGCACTAAGTACAATGTCACCCTAATAAACTCAATAAAAAATATGTGAGGCAAAAACTGATACAAATGAAAGAAAAATAGACAAGTCCAATATAACAGTTTGAGATTATAACCAAACCAAAGATGTACCTAGAACACTGTATATTAGTTGTCTTCTTCAAACTTGATAAAACAGATATTTACTTTATGGACATGCTGGTTGGAAGGCTCCCTTGCCACCTGGGCACTAGATGGCAGGGCAGCGCCGCTCTTGAGAGCACCAGCAAAACACTGCAAACTCAGGGATACGTGGCCAAGGTAGGAAGGAGGTCCACCTGCTCTAACGGTTGTCAAGCAAAATTTCACTATCTTCTTTGTTAGCACCTGCTTTTTATTATTACTAAAGGAGAACATACTTTTAATTGAAACTTTGAACAACACAGAAAAGTCATAAAGAATAAAATGGAAATTCTCATTATCCCACCTGTCTATAAATAAACACAGGGTCCAGGTCCTAAAAATGGTACTCCCATTTGACCCAGTAATCCCACTTCTAGGACTATATTTCAAGAAACCAGAAACACCAGTCAGAAAGGATATATGCACCCCTATGTTCATAGCAGCACAATTTACAATAGCTAAGATTTGGAAACAGCCTAAGTTTAAAAAAATAAACCGTCCAGCTCTGACCAGCCAATTGATAAGTAATTTAATACAATTAAACATCTCTGACTTTAATCCATTTGCTTCTAGCACTGTTTCCAGTGAACATTTTTCGGGTGTCTGCTTTTGGTTCTCAGTAAAGCCTCTTGGTGAATTTCCTAGCAACACTGCCTGCAGCTGGGTGAATATGTCCCTCGGTGGGATCAGGATGGTGCAGTACAGTATCCACTGCATCTGTACCTTTCATCCACAAACTACTTATCCTCCAAAATTTAGCTCAGTGATTCCCTCTGCAGGCAACTTCCCTTGATCCCTTTTGACTGGGTCAGATTTGTGTGAAATTTGTATTCCTCTGTCATTTAACGGTACTTTTTTAAATTACTGAAATTGTTTGATTTTATGTCATGGCTCCAACTACATCGTGAGTTTCCCATGGGAAAGGAGGTGGTATTCACCAAAATCAATTTTCTGAGTCTCCACCTTTCTGTCCAAACCCGAGAGTAGCGAGCAATGGAGACTGGGGGCGTGACCAAAAGTTAGGTGAGGACTGCGCAGACTCAGCAATTCAACCCCAATCGGCGTCCTCGGTTCCCATGGTGACAAAGGCCACTTCCTGTTCTTTTACCTGAAGGTATCCTGGCCGTTAGAGAGGGGGCGGGAGCGGTGGGAGGGATGTAAGGCTGGCCGTTTGAGACTGTGTAGCAGCAGGAGGTGAATGTGCAAGACGCCGCGATTTCTCCAGATGTCCCCGCCCCCAGGCCCAGCCCAACTGAGCCACAGTCAAGGCTCCAGTTAAGAGCGGAGTGTGCTCTGGTACGTCCGTAAGTAGGTTTGACAGATGACTTCACCACCTACCCTACCTCTGAGAAATAGCGTCCATGAGTTGGCTTTAATGTATAAATTATGTCTCTGGAAAATCAGAATTGGGGTCTTGAAGACACCATGAGGGCCATAGGGTGTGCATGTCCCAGAGAGACACAAGGCTGGGAAGCCGGAGATCTGGGCTCTGAGCTGGCCATTAACCTGAATGAGAGGCGGAACTAGCACTGCATCTCTGGGAGCGCAGTCTGGACTGTGAAGGAGCAGTGGGTGACACGCCCATGTCTCCCAGCCTTTTCCCAGGCTTCCATGACTGCTTCATGTGATCAGCTCAAACCTGAGAGCTGCTTGGCTGAACTGGCACTGAAGACCTGGAAATCGGAGGAAGGATGGCTGACTGGAAAGACTGTTGTTATGAAGGAGACCGAGGGAATGCTGCTTGCCATAGAATATTGACAGGTTCTACATAGCAGCATTCCCTATATTCCTTCCCAGGACAAGTAGAAGAGACCATGTTTCCATGTCCTCCCACCAGGGGCCACCTACATTGTCTCCACTGCCAGACTGAGTGATGTATCTAAACCCAATTAGGAAAGTGCCTGTTGGATCTCAGCATGTGGTCAGAAATATGCACACCAGTGGCTGTTTTGCTCCACAATTGGGTAAAGCTTTTTATATCTGCAATTCCTAATTGTGTTGTTTTACACAAACCATGCAAGTTTTAACATGCCACTGATAAATAGTACAATCAATGACATGGTCCAACAAAGGGTCCTAAACACCCTAAAAAAGGGAGTCTGGCATGGCTCAGTGGTTGAGCATCGACCTATGAACCAGGAGGTCATGGTTTGATTCCCAGTCAGGGCACATGCCCTGGTTGTGGACTCAATCCCCAGGAAGGGGTGTGCAGGAGACAGCGATCAATGTTCTCTCTCATCATTGATATTTCTATCTCTCTCTTTCTCCCTTCCTCTCTGAAATCAATAAAAATATATTTTAAAAAAGAAGGGTCTGGCGCAAAGATTCTTCCTGAGATTGAGGAAGCTGCTTGTACAGTGCTGTCTGGGTAGCTTAGGTGGTTGGAGCATCATCTTGATATGCCAAGGTTGCAGGTTCAATCCCTAGTCAGGGTACATATCAGAAATAACCAATGAATGCATATATAAGTGGAACAACAAATCGATGTTTCTTTCTCTCCCTCTCTCTCTTGAATCAATTTTTAAAAATCAGTTACCTTGCCCTGACCGGTTTGGCTCAGTGGATAGAGGGTCGGCCTGCGGACTGAAGGGTCCCAGGTTCGATTCCGGTCAAGGGCATGTACCTTGGTTGCGGGCACATCCCTAATAGAGGGTGTGCAGGAGGCAGCTGATCGATGTTTCTCTCTCATCAATGTTTCTAACTCTCTATCCCTCTCCCTTCCTCTCTGTAAAAAATCAATCAAGTATATTAAAAAAAAATCAGTTACCTTATTAAGGAAGAGTGGTAAGTGATCTTGAAATACTGTAGTGGTAAAAAAAAATCAGGGACTTCCCTCTTCTCACATTTTTGTTAAAGGAAAACATTCAAATGAAAATAATAACCCTTATATTTGCCATGTTCTCTGGAGCATTATAAATGCTTTCTCAAAAAATCCTTTATTTAAGAGCTAGGTGACACCTATTCCTGATGGGCCACAGACTCCAGCCTGCCAATGAGGCAGATTTCCTCAACCTCTTGCTCCCTGTTGTGTCACCATCCACTGATGCCCTTCGTGAGGTCAACCCCTTCCCATCTGGGGACACTTCTCCTTCCACCTGTCCCTGGTCCTGAGCCAGCTGTGTGATCGGCCTCTTCCCACCTGGGAGCAGAGGGGTGAGTCCTTGAGGGGGATGTCAGTGGTTTGGTTCTAGGCTCCTTATGCCACTATCTTACGACTTTTTAAAATAAGATTTGCCAAGGGGAGCACAGGGTGCTGGGTGGTGAGCCACCCTCCTATCCCCCACAAGAAAAACTGGATTCCAGAAGTTTATTACTTACAGGGCCTGGAGGAAGTACACTGTATTCCTCCAGGGGCCACAGCGGGAGGTCCAGGAAGAGTGCCGAGAGGCAGGACCTGGGCTACCTGTCTTTATTAGGGACCCTGAGTGGAGTGCTTTGGGGTTACCTGGCGAGGGCTGGGTTGGTCAATTCAAAAGAGCGGGGTTTTGGTAAGCCCCACTGAGGTCTTATCTAAGGGGTGCATAAGGCATACAGGCGCTGGGAGGCAGGGGAGAGTGTGATTACCAGGGCTGTTGGTGAAGTCATGTCAGGAATTTACATTTGCTTGTGACTGTGGCTGCTATCTTGGGCATACACCTGGATGAAGGGGCCAGTGTCAGTTTTTTTTTTAAATATATTTTATTGATTTTTTTACAGAGAGGAAGGGAGAGGGATAGAGAGTTAGGAACACCGATGAGAGAGGAACATCGATCAGCTGCCTCCTGCACACCTCCTACTGGGGATGTGCCCGCAACAAAGGTACATGCCCTTGACCAGAATCGAACCTGGGACCCTTGAGTCCGCAGGCCGACACTCTATCCACTGAGCCAAACCGGTTAGGGCCAGTGTCAGTTTTAAGGCCCCTACAAGCCACTTGGCCAAAAAAAAAAAGGGATGTGGCGGCAGCAAGACCATGGTGTAGCTTAGCTAAACTCTCCATAGGCTGACCTGGTGTTGTAGTAAAATATAGAAATGTTTAAAAATGTCTAAAATATGTTTAAAAGGTTTTAAAATGTTTGAGTTCACTTTCCTGAAAACTTAAAGTGTGATATTAAGGACACATTCCCCACTGCTCTGAAGCGTGTGTACCTCATAGATAAGGATTTGAACTTCAGTTGCCAACTCAGAGTGACTTGTCAGGATAACCATTTGAGTGAGCGATGTACTCTTCCTAGATAATCACATGTAGGCCCTCGCCCTGTTTGAGATTAACGTGTGCCTACGTAATTCTTTGATAGCCACCTGAACTGCTGCGCAACAGGCTTTAAAAATGGGTCCTGACCAGCCAACGGTGCTCGCCTGTCGAGACAGCCACAAAGGCGCGTCCTTTTCTCAGTCCCGCAAGCGACGCCGTTCCACGCTCCTCTCTCTGCCAGACGACGTAAGAACGACTAGTACCTCTCCATCGAGGCGCAACTGAGCTCTCGGGTGAGGAACGCCGGCACTCTGCATTGGACTGGACCAGCCCAGCTGCCAGACCCCCGAGGACAGCACCACCGGGATCCCCATTAAGCCTGTACCTGCAGCATCAGGAACTTGTGTGAGTAATAAAGTGCTGTGTGATTTGCAACAGCATATGTTTCATGTGGTGTAATTCCTCTGGCAGTTAATTGAATTATTTTGCGTATGCTTAATATTAAAATTAAAGCTTCTGGTCTTTTCTGTCCTAGGCCTGCCCTTGGTCCTGCTTGCGTAGAGCAGCCTCTTTGCTAGCAACTACTTGAATGTCCCACACCTGCACGGTTAGTTTATCTCAAGGGATGCCTTAGAGATAAACACCCCAGATCCTTTCCTGGGATCTACTTGGGACATCTGGGTTTCGCTGTGAAGGGCAGCCGGTGGCCGGCTGCAGATCCCGGCCCAGGAAGGTGCGCAGCCCCCACCGGGACGGGGTTTTCGCTGAGCACCATCCTGGCTATGGACAGCGCCTGCAGGGGTCTCCCTGGGACAGCCAAGTCTCCTGTCGCTGAACCGAGGCACCTCCGGCTCCAGATGAGGGCTGACCGCCCAGGGTCGTGGGATTTCTGTTTGGAAACCCATCCTCCAAGAAGCAGGTTCAGAAGCTGGACACATCTCCATGGGGCCGAGGGACCCCACGCCAGACGCGACTTTTGAGGGGATGCCAAGCCCTTGGAGTGCCCCCGATCTCCGGTTGGAGCTCCTCCTACCAATGCCATAGTGGAGGCACCGGACCTCAGCGGAGGGGACCCGATTGGGGGGGGGGGTAGGGCTACGGCTGCGGTGGGAGGCGGTTGGGGGCTAGGGGCACCGTGGCGCCACCCTGACTCCGGCCATCTCTGGCCTGCTCCAAGGAAGGCAGTCCTGCCTGCCCATCCTTATGTAAGCCGGTACAATAAATAGCGAAATAAGGAAAATCTTCCAGACATGCTAAGAAAGCCCCAATGTGCACCCTAAAACCAAATAAGATCTAACCAGACCTGTATACCTGTTGTAAGATTCAATTAGCTGTATAAAATGGAGTTGTATTTAGACTCGCCTTTTCCAAGAGGAAAAAGATTCTCGACTTGGTTTGCCTTCCAGGCAGAACCTGGAAAATATCCAGCGAGGGTGGCCTGGACGGAAGAGGAGTCTGGCAGACTTCACTTCTCAGTGCCGTCAGGAAGTAGCTGGTTTCAGCATCTTCTGTCCCCATAACGACGATGCCAACTTCCCGCCAGACACCAGGAGGTAAACACACTGCCAAGGACCTTCCTAGCGAGTGGTTGGCCCATGGCAACCACAAGGCTGCACCTTAAAAGCAGTCCTCGCTGGCCGCTGCTGCTATTTGTGGGATAGTGCCTATGCGACAAGGGCTGTGGGTTACCAGAGGCCCCGAAAATGTGAAGACAACTTTCTGGCTTTGTGAGGCAAGAGTTGGTGTACCGCTTCACTCCTTATTTGGCCACCTTGTGACAGTAACAGTTGAGGGGGTGGAAGGAAGAGGCAGGAGAAAGGAGGAGAAAGGGTAACATCCCATGTTTGTGGATTGGAAAACTTAATACTCTTACAATGGCAGTATTCCCCAAAATTGATCTACAGATTCAACACAACTATCAAAGTTTCAACTGAATGCTCTCCAAATTAGACAAGTTTATCATAAAATTTGTATGGAAATTTAAGAAACTGAGAGTAGCCAAAGCAATATTTTAAAAGAATAACACCGCCAAGCCGGCATGGCTCAGTGGTTGAGTGTCGACCTATGAACCAGGAGGTCATGGTTCCATTCCCCATCAGGGCACATGACTGGCTTGTGGGCTTGATCCCCAGTAGTGGGCATGCAAGAAGCAGCTGATCAAGATTCTCTCTCATCATTATGTTTCTATCTCGCTCTCCCTCTCCCTTCCTCTCTGAAATCAATAAAAAAATTTTAAAAGCCCAGCTGGCGTGGCTCTGTGGTTGAGCATCGACCTATGAACCAGGAGGCCATGGCTCCATTCCCCATCAGGGCACATGCCTGGGTTACGGGCTCGATCTCCAGTGTGGGGCAGCCGCTCAATGATTCTCTCTCATCATTGATGTTCCTATCTCTCTCCCTCTTCCTTCCTCTCTGAAATCAATAAAATAAATAAAAATTAAAAAAGAATAACACAGCCTGACTAGTGTGGTTCAATTAGTTGAGGGTCTTCCCATGAACCAGGAGGTCATAGTTTCATTCCCGGTCAGGGCAGAAGCCTGGGTTTCTGACTTGATTCCCAGTAGGGGGCATGCAGGAGGCAGCCAAATGATGTTTCTCTTTGATGTTTCTATTCCTCTCCCTTCCTCTCTATAAAATCAATTAAAATATTTTTTAAAAATAAAGTGAATATATCCTTTAAAAAATCAAAACAAACAAAAAATGGGGTAAAAATAATGGTTGTTAAAACTGCAAGCACATTATCACAAATTTAGGCAGTTGCTCTAAAATACTAATATTGACCATATTGCTCACCACAATACTCACACACACACACACACACCAAATAAAATCAAATCTCACTTAAGAAAATATTTAATGAAGCAATAAAATTTATGAATTTTATTAAATCTCAACTCTTGAAAAGACATCATGTTAATATTATGTCATGCAATGAGACACTATTGCATATCACAGAGCAAGAACTGTCTCGAGGAAAAGTACTCCAATGATAGTTTGTGTTGTGAGCTACTAGTAAACTAGCCACTTTTTTTCATGGAACACCATTTTCATCTTAAAGAACAACTATAACTCCGAATGTGGACATTTACTCTGGGTGTGCAGGAGGCAGCCAACTGATGATGTTTCTCTCTCATTGATGTTTCCATCTCTCTATTCCTCTCCCTTCCTCTCTGTCAAATCAATAAAAACATTTAAAAGCTGAAAAATTAAATTAACGCTGACATATTGTATCTCATTTAACCTCCATAGTTGCCCAGGCTAGAGCATGGCCAAGGGGATGTCTAGCTCTGACCTGTACAGATTTTCTTTATTGTACATCATTTAAATGCAAAAAGTTACTTTTATTGGCGAGATGGCTGGATATGTATGAAATGCTTTCAACAAAGTAGACATCACCAGGAACGAGGCAAATCTACACTGCGATGGTGGTGGTGATGGGGGGGGGGGGGGGGGTTGGCGGAGGACCTGGTGAAGCCGGTGGTCAGGGCAAATCCCAAGTCTGCTTTGGTCCAGCCCCTTCTGTGCAAGGCGCTCTCGTCCTGCAGGGTGAGTCCCCTTGCAAGGCCCGGAGGCTGACCCGGCCTCCCCGTCCTGCAGGGTGAGTCCCCTTGCAAGGCCCGGAGGCTGACCCGGCCGGCCCCGTCCTGCAGGGTGAGTCCCCTTGCAAGGCCCGGAGGCTGACCCGCCGCCCGGCTGACCTGCAAGGAATGGGAGCGGGGCAGGGCGCAGCCGCTTCCCTCGGAGCCCGAAGCCGTGAACACGTGCGGAAGCCAAGTCGGCGTCAGAGAAAGACAATATCCCACGATCGCCCTCAGACGTGGACTCTGAGGAACAAAATCAGCTGCTGAACAGAACAGACCCAGAGGCGCAGAAGCGGGCACAGCCTGCAGGCGGGGAGGGGAGTCATCAGTCAGAGACCTCGTAGGCACACACGCGTCGCCCACGGACACAGACAACCGCGGGGCGGCCGGGCCGGAAGGGTCGATGCACATCCTTTCACCAATAAAGATGAAAAGCCGGCGGAGG